GGCTTATGGAGTCAGCATTTGCCGCTCTGGAAAATACCATAAAGTTAGTCTTTTTCACATTCAGTTTGAGTTTATTTGAACACAGCCATTGATACAAAGAATTAAGATCTTCTTGCATTTTGACAATCGCATTTGGTAGTTCCCTATCACTGATCGTTAACAAGGCATCATCCGCAAAGAGTTTTATTTTACAATGTTTGAGAGAACTTTTAATATCGTTTATATATATATTAAAGAGTAGGGGTGCCAAAACTGAGCCCTGTGGTAATCCGATGTCTACGGCTATCTTACTAGACATCTTTGAATTAACTATTGTTTGTTGCCTACGATTACATAGAAAGCTTCTAAACCAGTCAAGCTCAGTGTTTTTTATACCAATGTTATCCAACACTCTGACTATTGAGAGGACAAAAAAGAGAGTAAATAAGGTCCTCTCTCTGTCAGAAGTTACCAGTTTTAGTCCGAAGATTTTTTGCTGGTAAATTCTGGTAAATGTGTCAGACGATCAGCTATAGTGTGTTTGGCTAATTTGTGTTGAAAAGTATTTAATTACTTGTTTTAAGTGGATTCTAATGAATTTGAAAGAAGTTTTGGTTATTTACATGTGTTAGCTGAGTGTGTTTACATACAAAATAAGCAAAAATTTACAACCAAAATTTGGAGGTTTTGTTGAAGTTGACAGAAGTTACAATTTTTTACTAGAACGTGATCCCGTACTTTTTATTGTTACTCTCTCGCTCTGAGCGAATTTTCCTTTTTTGACAGTTTTACTAGTTTTAGTCCGAGGAATACGGGATTGCACCTACTATTTTTTTACCTAATACCGGGCTTTACCCGGTTGAAGTATTGAATTCAATTCTGCTTTCAAGCGGAAGAGGGGTTGAGAAGAAAAGGGAAGAGTACATATGCGTCTGTACCGTCAAGTGGTTTCAAGTTTCTTGCTTTTTTATTGACATATCCGTCATTTCCCAATTAAAGAACCAAAAACTAGAATTCAACAAAATTTAAACGTGTAAAAGCAAATAGAAAACGCAAAAGAGAATGAACCAGAATTGCTTTAAAGTAAAGTAAGTGGGTGTAACAAAATTTAAAAAAAGAACTAGTTTGAGTATCTTTTTGGAACCATACTATGGTGTAATTGATCGAAGAGAAAGATCAAAGTTACTGAAAATCGCTATATAACAATTAGTTAATTCTTCAGGAACTAAATAAAACAAAAAAGTTTATGGCTGAATTTCTTTATTCATTCTGAACGTTTGGAATAAACTTTTTTGTTTATTTATTCTTTAGAACGTTCCTGATGATATGTTGACTTATATTTCAAACGCATTCTGTTTATTCCGGCTGTGAAATTGGATTATCCGGAATGTATAAAGAAACGCAGCCTATATAAATAGCTTCGTCAATGCATTTTAAAATTATCCGATACTATCGATAGTTTCAATGCAAACTAGCGAAAACATCGAATGGGATGACTATCGATAGTGGAGCTGTAAAACTATCGATGGGACTATTATAGTATCGATAGTTTTGAGCTATCTTGAACCGTCGATAGTTTTTCGCACTATCGATACTATCGAAATTTTTTGTTAAGCTTATCGACTTCACTTAGGTTCTTGAAATTTATTAAGCATATTTCGTAGATATCAGGGTATTGTCCAGTGAAATTTAGGCCATACAAGTTAAATAGTTTCTTTTTATATCGAATAAAACTTATGGCAAAATATATTTAGCTGATTTTCGCTTTGTTTTTGTCGAAATTCGTTTCTTGTATTTATAAAACTACTCATAATACCATGAACTGGACTTAAAACCAAGAAGCAGGGAACTTTTGTAAAGAGTTGATCCAATTTGAGCCAAAATAAGTACTTGTATTTGTTCAAGTGTTGATGAAACCAAGATTGTGCATTTCAATACATATTTTTTTAATGCCCATTTATTCTTCGGTCTATTTTGAGCTAGTTCAAGTTTCACCTTACGCAAAAACTGTTCATTGGGACATACATACGTAGGCCCAGACGATTCATTTACTTACTCCCAAAGTTCAGAAACATTTTTTGCACTTGTGAATAAAGTAAAGTAAAAGTTTAGTGGTAAGGTTTACTTGGCCGCAAATGTATATTGATTGAAACTGTGGGCATATTTTCAATCACTAATATATTCGTATGTTAGTGATAAAATTTGCAAAACGTAGAAATTAACGATTTAAAATTCAAAAGAAATATAAGAAAATTTCCCCTACTTTGCAAGTTTTTGCGTTCGAACACGTCAAAACATGAAAATTCGTAAAAACTTTTACTGGATTTTACTGGAAAGGGGGGTAAACAAACGCAACTATTGTCTTGACAGCATTGTCCAATGTAAACACGCCATTAGGGAACGCAACTGTAAATTCACCACGACGCGATACAGCAACAAGGGCCAGGGGTGTTTTTGTACGACAGGCAACTTTCCAGCGGCAGCGCTCAGAGCGTTCCGGTAGCAATTTTATTTTGTAACAAATTTATCATCAAACGGTGGCTTTAAAATTTCTTTTATATTTATTATTTATAGTAGATCCATTTATTTGCGTTTATTCGTAAAATTAATGCAATAAACGAAACTTAGGCTTTCTGCACATTGGTCGTCCAATCATAGTTGCTTCATCGTCACAATCATGTTGCAACGATTACGTGACAACTACACTTCCGCACACTTGATTGTGATATTTCAATTCATTTGGCGTCTAAAAATTCACTTGGAGCAGATATTTTCTGGATGATATTTTCGCGAAATATTTACAAAAACCTGCAATTTTTAAAATATGGACCGTGCTGCAACAATTCTAGACATATTTTTTCAGTAATATCTCTTCTTTTCTTTTCCTGAAATGTAATTTGTGCACTCACTCAGAGGCTTTTTACAATTTCGTCATATTTTATAGGTTAAACTCTCATAATTTTGAATGTTATTGCAATTATCCACTTTTTAATACTTTCCACAGATTTTATGCAAAAGTATTTTTAATGCAAATATTAATTTTTCCTAATAAAATGTAAACAAACAATGCGTGCACAACGATTAGCAAACGAGAGTGCCGTACTTATCCGTTTCTGCATATTCTACGATTTGCCGATAACTAGCCAATAACGACAGTGTGCAGATCTCCTTTGAAATGCATGTACTCGACTCAAAATTGCAGGGCAAGACGATAATGCAACTATGATTGGACGACAAGTGTGCATATAGCCTTATTCTAAAAAATTCTAAAGTTTATTTCATAAGAGCTGCAGAGCAACCGTGCGTTTAAGAAATGTGCTACCTAAATTTTCACCTCTGGGAACTTTATCCCCATAAGGGAGTTCACCACAGTTTTTTTAATGGACATACTGAGCTGTTGAGATACAGCTGATTTTGTTAGATTGCCGCATTAAAAAAAAAGAAGGAGACAAGCCAAAGACATAACCAGTAAACCTTCGGTGAATTTGGCGGCTGCCTTCCTCGGGGATGAATATGCTAGGGATGAAATTATTGGTACACACGCCTTCCAAGCACGCAGGGTTGCTTTTAACAAACAAAAAATAATTTCCTTCAAATAGTTTCAAAAAGTATATGGGCCTGTGCCAATTGATAGAAAAGTTCTATGGTGGAAAAACTTTTTACTATGGTGAGAAAATTTTACATTTCTGCTGTGCCAATTCGTAACTTTTTACTGCTGGAAATTTTTGACAGTTGCTTTGATGCACAAGAAGACTATCGAGTTTGCAATTTATAAAATGCAGCAATTATATAGAAAATATTTGCCTTTGATGATTTCAATTCTTCTGGAACTGCAGAAGAAAATGAAAGGGTAGCCGATAAATTCTGCCAAAAAACAAAATCAAACGCGTTTCGTAATTTTGTTTGAGCGATTGATGGCACACATATTCGCATAAAATGTCCTGTCAACAAACACGATGAATACATCAATCATAAAAGGTTCTATTCTATCCAGGCGCAGGCGGTTGTGGACAGCGATTATAAATTTACAGATGTTTTCATTGGCTACCCAGGATCTGTACACGATACACGAGTGTTTGTGAATAGCCCCTTATATGCTAGGGGAGACTATCCTCCCCGGGGCCAATTCTTATTCGGTGATAAAGGATACCCATGCCAAACGTTTCCGGTGGCAGTTATCACCCCATTCAAAGAACCTCTGACATCAAATCAAGCCAGGTTCAACGTTGCGCATAGTAGAGGAAGAATAGTTGTTGAAGCAGCTTTTGGAATTTTAAAAAATAGATGGAGAAACATATTTAATAGAGATTTGGAATTGAAAATTGAAAACTGTATAAAAACCGTATTTGCGGCATTTATATTGCACAACATTTGCATTCTTGCAGATGATTTTGACCTATCTTCCCTGGCTACTGAGAATGAAACTATTAATATAGAATCGGTCCAATCTGCGCGAAATATATCCGACTCTGAAGATGGTTTAAGAGTACGAAATGAAATTCTCAATGAATTCCTTCAAACTATTTAAGTATCAATAAAACAAGACTTAATTAAAGAGTTTCTTAGGTTTTTATTTACATATGCATATCAAAAATACTTATTTTTTTTTAGTTTTTTCATATCAGTCTTATTTACATTTACTTAAAAATATAAAGTGGTATTCAATACCATCACAATAAAAAGAAAATCATATATGGAGATCCATTTTGTTACTAAGCCTACTAGTTTTTAAAAAGAGTAATATATCTTAAACTAAAAAAATTCATCACATTACTTATTGTACTGGTTTTTCTTATATCTAGAGGTACATGTTGTATAAAAATAATAAATTAAAGTGAATTCAAGCAACAAACAAAACAAAAAATTAAATACTACACTTCTACCAAAAAAATATTTACATAAAAAAGATAAAATAAAAAAATTCAGTTAAAAATATTTCCTAATGGCACGGACTACTCAGAATCCGAGTCTGAGGTCAAGAGCAGCGCTGATGCGTCGATGTGCGGATAGTCCGCCTGCACCATTTGCCCAATTACAGCCAAAAGCGTTGATATTTTTTTATTGATTTTTTTATCCCTTTTATAAATGTGGCGTTCTAGTTGCTTAACGCCATTTTGTGCTGCAGAGCGCCGGGATGTTGATGGCAGTGGACTCTGTCTCGACTCTTCGCTAGACGTCGACTGCGAATTTGTCAAGGACTCAACCGGCTGCAGTGCCGAGACAAATGTGGCGTTTTCCTCTCTCCTTGGCTGCATCGACACCTCACCATCGCCGCTATCAATTAAAAATGGAGGGTGAAAATTATCTTTCTTGGAAGCATATGAGTGGATGCACTCAAAAAACTCCCAATCTTTCGCCTCTTCAGCAGTCGCCTCTTCACCTGTTCCATCGCCCGAGCGGTATTTGAAAAAGCTTTTATATTTTTTCATCAACGCATTCCATTGTGCTTTACATGCTTCAGCACTTTTACCGTCCAGGCGATCCTTCAGCTCATTCGCGATTTTTCTAAGAAAAAACTTCTTAATAAAGTCTTCAAATTATTTATATTGGTCTTACTCACTTCCAGCCTTCGTTGCTGTTGGCGTTCTTTGAGCTGAACCAAACATCCTTGTCAATTCGCCTTTCCAGAAGGATTCTGCGTTCTGAACTGCTCCCTGTAAAATAGTATTTTTAATTAAAAAAATACATAACGCCTTTTCATATGTAAATCTGAAATTAAATCTTACAAGTTATATAGGTTTTCTTTATTTTTTTTGCCGGCGGGACCATTTTCTGTTATTTCCACTCGCTTTTGTTTTCTTTAATTTATGTGTATACGTGCGTTGTTCGTTCTTCTTCTTGATAATGCTTGCTGTCAAATTTTTCACTAGCCCTGCCGTATCAAACATTTTTATTCACCTCATAGCTGTCAAAAATTTACTATCCAGAGAACTTTTCTATCAATTGGCACAGGCCCTATAGTGTAAAACGAAATTTATTGAATAATTCCACATAAAATGGTATACATCATGGAACTTTTCTACTAATTGACATGAAATTACTATCTCAACGCTCGGAGCGCTGCCACTGAGGGCTTTTGCCAACTGATAAAAAAAGAGAAAATTTGGAAATACCAAACAAAAATTTTGAGATTTCTCCTTGTGAATAAGAATGCTATAGTTTTTACCTAGCTCGTGTGACTACGAAAATTTTGACAGCTTGTAAATATGTATACACATAAAGTTGTTGGCGGTAATAGAGTCAAAATCAAAATGGAGAAATGAACAAAAAGCGTACGTTAGTTGTCAGTTATAAAATAAATCCAATTTATTTGCGAATATTTGTTTATTCTATTTATTGAAAGGCAACTACGCGAAAAAGCTTGTGTTAATTATATTGATAACAGAACCTGGCAGCTCGCACGTTGTCTAAATTCTCAAGTAACATAAAATCCACAAAAGAATACATTGCTTGTATTACCATCAATACGCCATGTATAAATTTTAACAAGACACAAAAATAGAGCTTTCGCACGAGCGTTTGTTTGGTTTTTCAACACCATTTATAATTTTCTTTTAATAAAATCACGATTTGTCAAATGCTTAAATTTATTTATCTAATAATAATGCAGCACACACCCCTGATATCTAAGAAAAAGTCTGAGGAAGGCAATTAAATAGCAGCACACAACCCCGTGCCTTCCTGAGGAGTGAATATAACTACAACAACAACGACTACTACAACAACAACCCAAAAAGGTTGGTTACTGTCTATACTGTGGAGACAAGTTTTATCTGACGCCGTGCATTCCACGGATTAAAGTTAATGTAAAATTTAGTAAAATGCTTAAAGCAATTAACACTTCACAAACTTTCGCTCAGCTAGTTGAGACAAAGTGTGCTGAAATATTCTTTCGCAAAGAGAATTGCTTCACGATAATCTGCTCGTATTGCGAACTGAAGACTTTTAATTTTGAAGAGTATTTATTGCATTTCAAAAATGCACATCTCGCATCAGAGAAAACTTCAAACAGTGAATCTTTTGAGGATGCAGTTGAGATAAAAATTGAAAATTTCGATGAAGAGCCGAAAAGTACACCAGAAGGATGTAAGGAATTAGATTCCCACGCAGAATTCGAGTCTTTAACTTCTAACTCGCCTATTGATGTCAACGTTAAAAAAGAGGTCGATATTTTGGAAGCCGATAATGAGTGGCAAAGTGATAGGGAAACTGATTACAGTAGTGACGAGCAAAGCGATCAGGATCCAGAGTTTGTTCCAAGGGTATGTACTGGTTTGAACATTCAGATATACATATGTAACTCATTTGTATTAACAAAGTTATATCAGTAGATATTGCATAGCGAACCAAGGAAAAGCAACAATCCAACCGAGTACACTTGTAAAGAATGCAGTAAAAGCTATAAATTTGCTAAGAATTTGGACCGTCATATAAAAAAATGCCACTGTAATGATCCTGAATATTGTTGCGTACGGTGTAAGCAGAGCTTTAGCGATGAGCGGTCGTTGAACGAACACCAGCGCAAAAGGCATGCCGGTTTTCCCTGCGAAGAATGCGACAAAGTCTATTCGAGTAAAGAAGGTTTGACCATTCATCGATATAACCATACAGGGGTGCGTAGTTTCCATTGTACGAAGGAAGATTGCGGCAAGTCTTTTTTTAATCCAAAACAGCTATCTATGCACACTCGTTATGTTCATAAATTGGAAAAAAATTTTGTTTGCGAAGTATGTGGATACCGTACTAAGGGGCAGCCCTCACTGATCGTACACAAACGAACACACACTGGAGAAAAACCATTTATTTGCAAATTATGTGGCAAAGGTTTTGCTTCAAAGTCATTGTTGTATGAACATGAGCCTTCGCATTCGACTGAGCGACCACACGTATGCGATGTCTGCGGAAGGGCCTTTGCACGACCCAAAGCTCTCTATCATCATAAACATCTACATCTGGACGTAAAGAAATTCAAATGCACGCTCTGTGGACGCGCATATGCCCAAATGGCTGGTTTGGCAGGTCATATGCGGCAGCATAAAACGGAAAAGTCTGTAGAGCTCTACCCAGAAATCCACCGGGCAACGGTAAAGCTCCGCTCAGAATTGCAGCGGACGTCGGTAAAGCGCTGTCAAAATTAAAACTCGCAAAGACATATGGAATGGCTCATAATTGCGGCGGCAGCGTTTTTACAGCCGACGTTTTTCGGTTGAGTTAAATTTATTTCTATTTTTACCGGTCAGCGAGGGCGGCACAATGTTTATTGAGTATTGATTGTGATAATTTTTATTATTTTCACAAGTTTGGCACTCTTTTCATCAATTTATATTTCCAGCAAATCTACATACACGTACGTACCATGATACAATAATTTTTAGAAGGTAAAAAAAAAAAAAAAAAAAATTATTGTATCATGCGTACGTACCGAAAAAATATTTTATTTCAATGATAATTTTCAAGTCAAAATGACTACTGACGAGTTTCACTGCGGCAACTATACACCTGTTTACTTACCGCCGACCGCTTTGTCGTCGTCCGCTATAATTCTGGGCAGAGCTTAATGGGTGACGCAAGAAATAGTTGAGAGTTTTCTTGTTTATCTTTAAATATTTAAATATAATTTCATGTTCATATTTTGCATATTTGTATAAGATACATAAATATTTATGTTTACATACATACATATGTACATAAGGTTTGTTCTTGTAGAAATTATCCAGTAACATACCAGCAACAGTCCAGTAACTTAATTTCTGAGAATTCGTTCTCATAGGAAAAAGTACAATAACGCAAAACCAGTAATAATTTGCAAGCTGACTAATTTGTTGTTTATTCGCAACAAGCATCAGGTCAAGGTAATGTGCCTTGGCACCAATTCCAAACCGCACTAGAATAAAAGTGACATCTAACCGTGGTTGCGCACATTTGGCATTACAAGCTGCTGAGGTTTAGAAATAAAAGGACTGATGCTTTGTATTTTGACGTTTTGGAATGCAGCCTATAATTTATTGTTCTGACTTTCTTTAACATACATTTCAATTTCTTTATAGTACTAGTTGTCTGGTTTCTTAAATCGACTCTGGTGCCAATTGCATTCTGATTGCGAATACAATTCTTTCAGACGAATACAATTTTTTCAGTGCAGTTCAAATCATTGGAATTAACTAAATTAATGGATCAACAACTATTTACTTTCCTTCTTTAATAAAAAATCGCTCGTGTTTATAAATTTTTAAATTTAACGAACTTGTTTATTCAAATTATGGTCGACAAAAATGCAACCATGTGCCACAATCATGTTTTTCGTGATTGCAAATTCTTGTCAGCTAAAATTTTTCCCACAAGAATTTCATGAACGAAAGACACAAGATCACGTAAGAACAAGAGAGTGAAAAATGTCGATTTTTTTAGCGGGTTCTACGCCATCTTGTTTCACTGGAAAACTAGCGAAAAGTAAACAAAGCAAAGAAAACAACGAAAACCAAAATTAGCGAAAATTATTGTCAGCCACTTTAAACGCACAATTTAGGTAAAATGATGCAACAAAATGCTTTAAAATTTGTTGTCATGTTAAATTAACTCTTCTGTGTAAAATAAACAAACGCCCAGCTGACGAACCCGCGTTCGCAAACTTTTTTCTCAAAACCAGTTACAAATACAACGTCGCGTTCTTACGTGATCTTCTTGTTGTTGTTGTTGTTGTTGTAGCGGCACTACTAAGCCCCGCCTGTTTCGGGTCAACTTTTAATCATTATCGTCAAGCTCAACTAACGGTAGGCCCAGGAAACGAGCTGTTTCGATGGGGTCGGACCAAAGGGAGAGGGGTGTTAGTTGAGTCGGATTGAGCTGGCATGTGAAGAGGTGGTTGGTGTCGTGGGGGGAGTCTCCACTTGCCGGGCACTCATTTGGGATGTTTGGGTCGAGTCTGGACAGGTAGCTGTTTAGGCGGCTACAATATCCAGACCGTAACTGAGCCAGAGTAACGCGGGTCTATCTAGGTAGTTGAAGCTCCGTTACGTGATCTTGTATTTTTGGTTCATGCAAGAATTTGCAACTTCTCTCCAGGAGAACGTCACTTTGCGCTCAGTTTTTGAGTGATGAATAATTTTTTGGTCTACAACAGCGATGGGCAGAGAGAGCTTTTACTCTGCGGGCGCCTATACAAAATTTATAGAAAGCTTAAAAGAGCTTTTGCCCGCGAGCAAGGCAGTGCCCATCGCCGGTCTACCAGAACGCTTTTGATCGTGTATCCCACAATCTACGTCTTAAGAAGCTAAATCTTTTTGGTTTTCACTCAAGTTTTTTGTCTTGGATCAAGTCCTATCTCCAATATGGACTACCTTTTTGAACCCTTCGAAGGGGGCGCCTTGAAAGTTAGGCAAAGAACATAGCGACCCGACAGAGAGAGCGACAAGACATTTTCAGATAAGTTCATGGAGTACTGGATCAGAGCTATTTTCAAATCCCATTCCCAAATCTATTTCCGCTTCTGCTTCTTTATTTTAGTTCTAATTCACCATCAATATATCCGATAATGCAGTTAACGTCATAAAACAGCTGTTTGGAAAGAATACTTCTTTTGCAAACAACATTTTGGTGCTGATTTTACATATTTGTTGTTATTTACAAGACCAAATTACTAAAAAAAATGCTCAAAAGGGTTTCACCAGCTGCTAATATCGGATATAATNGCTGATTTTACATATTTGTTGTTATTTACAAGACCAAATTACTAAAAAAATGCTCAAAAGGGTTTCACCAGCTGCTAATATCGGGTATAACTTCTCGAAGTCAAAGTGTGCAGAAATTCATTATCACTCATCGACATTTTCAATTCTTTGTACATTTTGCGGTATGAGAACTCTTGCTTTTAGCGAATTCTGTAATCATTTCCACAACCATTACGAGACTTTCATAAATGCTTGGGTAGATAAAGAGGAATCCATAATTAACAGTGATAGTGAAATTATCGAAAATTTCGATGGAAAACGCGATCCATTGAAATTGGAGGTACGAGATGGTACTAAAGGTTCCGAAGAGGATTTAAATATTCTTCAATTTGAAAACAAAGAAGCAAGCAAAGAAGGTGGTGTAAATGAAGTGTCCAATTATGATGAGACGGTTTCCATCCATGGTTTCGATAGGCATCAAACAGAGCCCGCATCCGATGCACCGGACACAGAATTATTTAGAACCACAATAAAATTAGAGAGTACTGACGCAAGTTCATAAATTTTTAGAGTAAGAACCATGTTATTAATTGTTATTTACGTTTTAGGTCAGCTGCAAAGGATCTACGAATATGGTAAACACGAGTACAAAGGTTTCCCCAAACGATAAATGTACTTCTGAAGAAGACGAAAATTCCACCAACGATTTAAATGCTCAAGTAGGTTTAGAGAAGATTGAAGAAAATCTAGTTGAATATATCGATTGGTCTAAATCTTACGAACCAAATTTATTGAAAAACAGTGACAAACGTCGTTATAAAGCTCGCAACACCCCAAACAAATGTACGTATTGTGGAAAGACCTTTCGGCGCCGTCTACAATTGGATACGCATCTAAATATACACACGGGCTCTAAGCCGCACCAGTGTGAGATATGTGGCCGTTTGTTTCGTGCAGTTACAACCCTCGCACGCCATCTGAACACCCATGAAGATCGCCAAGTTTTCAATTGCAAGTTTTGTGCGAAATCCTTCTCACGCCGGGCTGCATTGCTAAGCCATGAACTGAGACACACACAGCAGCGACGTGTACCCTGCGATGAGTGTGAAAAACTTTTTTATACCGTTAATCAAATGGATACACATAAACGAAAAGTTCATAATAAAGTGGATGACGCTTCCTTGCCCTTTCAATGCAATTTATGTACGAAACGCTACCGTAGTGCTTCCATGCTGAGCACCCACAAGTTCAAAAAGCATTACAAAACTGCAAAACTAACTTGTGAACAATGCGGAAAAAAGTTCGTAAACGATCAGCAGTTGGAGGTACATAAAACTATACACGTTTGTAGCCTCAGAGACAACCAATGACAGAATTGCAGCAAATAGGATATAGTAAATATGTAAAATTTAGAACTGATTTGCAAATACATATAAATATGTACATGTATGAACGTATGTGACTTACCGCGTTATTTCGTCTTATTCTGTTTGTCATTTCTTTATTTAGGTGTGGTGAAAACGTTTACCTCGCCCATTGTTTCTTTGCACAAACATTGTTTGTTGCAGGAGCATGCATATCAAAGTAATGCTGCGATTGAAACATTATAAAATTTAAAAATAAAATAGTTGAATAGCGATTACCTCATAAGTACCGCAAAACTGCAATTTTGGCGTTTGTTCTTTCAAGCTCGATACAAACTATCGACCATTCAATGCGCTCGATAAAATAATCGATTATAATGGCGGACAGCGGCTCTCACATATATTATTAAATCAAGTAACGATTTCGATTCAACGGCTACTTATTGAAAAGATAATAACTTTTATTTATAATTATTATTATTTTTTTTTTTATGGAATAGCTGTAGCTTTTGAGCTGACCAAATAATTCTCCATTTTCTAATTAAACTATACAAAAGAATTACCATTGTGAATGAACAGATTACTAATTGTGACTCCAAGCTTTGCTAACGAAGAAGAAGTTAAGCGAGGCGCTAGCTTTTGCAGTTTTTTGTCAATTGCTAATAAATACTTTTCTAAAATTATGACTTTTTGCCAGTGTTGTAGTCAATAATGAATTCGAGTGATGGGCAAATCCTTGAAGATTTCGAAGTCGTTGAGGACATAAGGGAAGATGACTCAGAGGAAAGTCTGCAAGTGGACGATGTTCAGTGCGGACTGATTTTTTACAGCGAAACAACGCGCGTATTAAAATTTTTTTGCATATATTGTGAAAAAGTAACCGATAATATTAACTATTTTTGCCAACATTTAAGTGAACACATCAACGATGACAGCAAGGAGAGCCAGCAAGAAGAAATCAATGCCAACGTCCTGCCTGAGAAATCTATTGATGATGTTGAGCTAATGGAAACAGATTCCAAAGCGGTAGTTTACGAACCAAATGCAAATCAGTGCGTTCTCCCCTGCGATTTGGCTGATTTTGATGAATCAAAAATTGTTGTGGAAGAACTGGATGAAGCGGAAGAAATTGCAGCAGAAGTAGAAGCTGAAATGCGTGATGAATTCGAGGGCGATCATGTATTTCCTAAAAAAGAAAATAGTTGCTCAGAGCAATACTTCAGTTACCTACAAACAAATGATTACGGAACAGAAAAGAAATTAAAATCCGAACACAGAGCGGAGATCTCTACAATGGATTTGAATAGAACTGAAGCTACCCATGACACACAGTGGAAAACCTCCAGTAAAAAGAAGAAACGTGTAACTACAGTAAAAGTTATTGCGCTAAAAAATCGGGTTGCAGAACTCTATGAACGCATTAAACTAGAGGAGGAACGGCGTTCTCGCCTCAGTGGCACAAATCGTGAATCATCTAATGGAGACAATGCAGAGAGTGTAGAACAAGATTGTACGATTGGTGCAGAAGCTCACACTTCGTTGCTACCAGAATCAGAGCCGGTAAGACAAATAATTGGCGAAACTGTCATAACCCTTCTGCCACCAACGCTTCCTAAAGTCGACTTAGCGAAATTTGCGGGCACCACATCGCCCCTACAAACTCAAATGAATAAACGTGAGAGCCCTGTTGATAAAACTACTTGTCCGGCTTGCGGTAGAAAATTCCGAAGTGCTTTTAGTCTTACAATTCATAAAAGAACGCATTACTTGGAGTCGGATAGTAATATTAAGTTGGCACACAAGTGCTCCGATTGTGATCAACTATTTAATAAAATTCTCGATTTAAAAGACCACATACAACAAGTGCACTATCCAGAGGGATTTATCTGCAAAATATGTAATAGGAAACTTACAAGTCTTACGCTACTTGAGACCCACATGAGAAAAGTACATCTATCAAGGCCATTCAATTGCGAAATTTGTCGGAAAAATTTCGACACGCCAGATCGTTTCGAGGAACATGTTAAGGCGCATGTATCTGGCCAGCCTTACCGGTGTCACATATGTGGTCGCAAATACAGTACGGAATGCATACTAAAACAACATTTACGAAGACACAAGGAGCAAATACCCCAATGCTGTGTCGTATGTGGTAAGATGACATTACGTATAACACAACATATGAAAATACATGCGCCTCGGCCAAAAAGGGTGCTAAGTTGTAAAGCATGCGGTAAAGTTTTCAATTTTAGCTCAGGCTTAAGTCACCACTACAAAGTAATGCACAAGTTTCCAAAGGCAACTTCAAAATTAAAACGAGATCGTCTTGGTCAAATGTCAAGAAGTCATGAAGAAGTTAAGCCGGAGACACTAGAGAGTTCCGTGGAAGCACTTGAGGATGTCCGAATTGTAGATAAAAAGGATACTAATGAGGAGATCAATCGAAAAGAGGAAGAAGCGAAGAGGGTCATTGTTGAACTTATACAAAATGCAACATACACATCATTTTTCCCTGAAAGTTTTAACAGTTCTATGGACTCTGGCCCACCCATAGCTCGAGAAGAAACGATATCAGCTGTAAATAGCATAGTAAATGAAGAAAATTCATGAAATCAGCTTTGTATAAGGGTTTACTTTAGTTTTTTATGTATATTTGTTAATAGAATGATATGGCAAAAAATTTAAAAATATGTATATTCACCTACCCAATACCGCGTAGTTATGCTTTGCAAGTGGGGCTTAAATGCATGCAATAAAAAAATTTTCGCGTTACAAAAAGTTTGGCAACTCTTATCCGCTTGTCAAAAATGTCATTTGGATTTCAATTGGTTTGTTGGCATTGGCAGATCGGCAGATTTCCGCGATTTTTAATAATCCAGCTGTGAGTGTTGTTTTATATCAACAAAAATGCATCCAGATCTTACTGAACGCATATTGCAACATTTGGAAGGCAATGACAAAGTCAGCACCATTGATTTGGCCACATTGTTTGGCGTAGACCACCAAAAAATTGTTGGTGCCTTAAAAAGCATTGAAGCTCACGGCGATTTGATAATCGCCGAACCAGCCTCAACAAAAAGTTTGGAGTTGACAGAAGAGGGTCAAATTGTAATGACAAATGGCAGTCACGAAGCAATACTGTATGGAACTGTCCCTGTGGAAGGCATTTCCCAAGAGGAACTTATGAAGAGTGGCCCTAATGCGAAAATTGGCTATAGCAAAGCCATGGCACTTGGTTGGATCCATTTGGACAAATCAGTCAGCCCACCACTTGTCAAAAGGAAAGTGGAAAAAATCGAAGATACAGTAAAAAAATCTCTTGAAGAGATTTCAAAAAATCAAACGGATCTGCCACCTCATGTAATCAAAGAATTTAAAAAACGCAGGTTGTTGCAAGAAATCACGACGAAAAGTTTCATTTTGAGTAAGGGTAGCGAATTTGCAACAACTTTAACGAAAATGGAAACAGATCTCACAGTTGACATGCTTGCGAACGGCTTATGGAAGGACCTTAAATTCAAATCATACAATTTTGATGCACTGGGCTCTGCACCTGTGAGAGGTCATTTGCACCCACTACAAAAAGTACGCTCAGAGTTCCGGCAGATATTCTTAGAAATGGGTTTTTCGGAAATGCCTACAAATAACTACATAGAGTCTTCATTCTGGAATTTCGATGCACTATTTGTACCACAACAACATCCTGCTCGCGACGCTCAGGACACCTTCTTTATTAGTCATCCGGCAAAGAGTTATAAATTTCCGCAAGAATATATGCAACGCGTACAGGAAGTACATTCACGTGGCGGTTACGGTTCGACTGGCTATGGCTATGATTGGAAATTAGAAGAAGCACAACGTAACACATTGCGTACACACACAACAGCGGTGAGTGCACGAATGCTATATAAGTTGGCCAGTCAGCCGGAGGGGTTTCGCCCAGTAAAATATTTTAGTATTGATAAAGTATTCCGAAATGAAACATTGGATGCCACACATTTGGCGGAATTCCATCAAGTGGAGGGCGTGGTAGCGGACGTTGGACTAACGCTCGGAGATTTAATTGGTACACTTTACGAATTTTTCCGCAAACTTGGTATTGAAAAGTTAGAGTTCAAACCAGCCTACAATCCGTACACCGAGCCAAGCATGGAGATTTTCTGCTTCCATCCAGGACTTAACAAATGGATCGAAGTGGGAAATTCAGGTGTTTTCCGGCCAGAGCTTCTGCTACCAATGGGCTTACCTGAAAATGTAAATGTTATTGCTTGGGGTCTATCGTTGGAACGACCGACTATGATAAAATATGGAATCAATAATATACGCGATTTGATCGGGCCTAAAGTCGATTTGAAAATGGTAGAAGAAGGACCGATCTGTCGTTTAGATAAATAAAATTTTTATAAATCGGGGCTTGTTTCAAGGGATTTGAATTAAAATATTGTTTGCCTTTCCAAATAAAAATGTAATTAACAATACAAAGATAATATTTTTTTTTTTTAGGATGCGAGAAGATAAATACTTTAAGTCAGGAATATGCATTTAATATGCACGTAAAATAATGTAGACGGCATCTGTGTCCGTAGATAAATCGGAAATAATAAAATCCATAATAAAATCCTCTGGTTCTGCTTCCCACCCCAAAACCATTGCAAAAATAACCGAACATTTCCCCAAGTCATGAGGCCCATGGGTCCCAAAGTAATTCCACTTGCTGTTAAGTGGACAAAGACAATATGTATTAAATAACACATCGAAATGTTTAATTTGAGATTCTGAATTATATCAGAATCTTCGTATCCGGTATAGAAAACTATAATAGTCCTGGCTAGCTACATTGTGAAATAATCAGATGATATACATATGTTCACTAAAATTGTATTAATGTAAAAATAATGATTTGGCAAGTTATCGAATTTAATGTAAAATTTAATCATTTTTAAGATAAGATAATTATTATTAAGAGGTTAATGTTAATACAACTACATATATTATTTATAATCCCAATTTAGGATGGAAAATCTCCCACACCAAAAAACTGACAATTAGGTAACGCCGCTTCGAATTTTTCACAATTGAGAAAATGTCAAAAACCGGCTTTTTAATCAAAAAGTTGGTTATTGAAGCTATCTTCTTTTATGTATCATGGCTAGACCGATTTGGAGTGGTGAGAAAAGTAACCGGTTATAGCTTTGAACCGATGTGGAGTGGTAAAAAAGCTAGTCGCGAGCCGCTTATTTTATTACATCTCGTCGCCTGGGTAAAAGATAGTCGTATGTTAATTTCGGCAGATTGTGGGAAATCGCGATTGAAGTTTGGAATGCAATTTCTCAAAAACGCGAAGATAGATTTTCTCCAGTCTCTGAAAATTTTACTAGTTCGCAAAATTCTTAAATTTAATTTTTGATATTTGATTATTTTAATATGACTGCATGACTAACTAAAAATTTTCGAAAAAATTTTAGTCACCATCTCGGAAACTAAAGGAGATATCTTAAAACAGATAACACCAATCGAAAAATCTTATTTCAAAATATATAACTGCATCTTGCGCTTACGACAATCGTTTACCCAGGCCGTTTGCCGTTGTACAATGCAAACGCTGCTTTATTTTCGGAAGGGCCCTAAATACAACCGTGTTATTGAAATAATGCATACAGATGTCGCCCAAATAGCCTTCCAGCTGACAAAGGAAATAATTTTTGTCGTTCTCTTTTGTTCTCATTTACGAAATTTGTCAAACAAATTGTGAAGAATAAATTTTGTTTATTTCCAAGCATACTATAAACAAATATATGTATATTAAATGGATAGTAATCATGGAGAAGACAATAGAGAAACTGTTTCCGGCAAAGATTCTTCTGCTACTTCATTATTAAATCAGTTCATTTTGGGGCAATTGAAAGAAAAGCACTGTACAAACGGGGAAATTGGAGCCAGGAATGGATTCGTCTTACCTAAATTACAAATGGGTGCCACTAAACCTACGAACTTCGTTATTCCTCCATTGAAATTATTCAATGCAAATGGTGCATTATTGTGCAAACCACACAGTCAACATAAGCCAACGATAATTTCAAAAGCAACATTTGATAGGAAATCGTACGACGATGGTATTGAAGGCATAAGTAAAGGCATAGACATAATGCATGTGAGTGACTCAGACATTTTGGAAAAGAAAGTAGAAGTATCATCCCCTGCCATCGATCTATCTGCAGCATTGAGCTCCGTCACAGGCATTATTGTGCCTAGTAAGCAACGATTATTACAGCCCGCTGAGGTTTTCCAGATACCATTTATTGAATGTGATCGACAAGAGAAGCCAATTCTGCTGCCCGTCATAGACAAATTCTGCCAGTCGGGCACAGATGCCACTACCATGTACAAAAGCAAAAAACTCGCTACACCTTCGTCTTGTGGACGCATTATTTGTCTCAACTACAAACGCATACATCCGTTGCCGAAAATAGGGCACAGTTTTAAAGTAAAACACAAAATACAGCGTTTTCGTTTCGACACCAAATCACCTGATGACATTATTTTGGCTACTTTGAATAAATACCATCGACAATATTGACGAAGGTCGAAGTCTATTCTACCAGATCGTTTAAAATTAAGAATGAGCAATACACTAATTGTAAGAAAGGACGTTTATAACATTATAATACATATTGTACAAAAAAAGAAATTATGATGAATACTATTACGTATTATTTAAAAAAAATCGAAGGTGGATGCCGCCAAACATAAGAAAACAACCCCTGATTACCTTTGCATATCCATTAATTCTTGGCTTGGAATCTGAATTTCCAAAAAACATGAAAAACGCGAAGATTTCCTCTAGTAAATTTAAATTTTCAACATTTTTTTTTCGGCCAAGTCCTACCATACGGCGTCGTACGAACTATTGATATTTCCACGAATGTCAAATAAAAAAAACAAACAAAACCAATCATATTGTCGCAATCGGAAAGTTATGGCGTCAGAAATCGCAAGATCACAAGCCATTCTGCAATGAATGGAATAGGGAATTTACATGAGGCGATTTTTAGTTGAATGCAACAATTGCCTGGTGTAAACGGCCTTTCAACTAATCGCTTTCAATGAAGTTGGTTGGCTGCCTACTTTCGTTCAACTTTTGGTTCAACTAATCGTCTATGAAAGTCGAATCATGTAAATTCCCTAGAAGGTTGAAAAATACGTGAATGAGATATGTGCATACATATATATTTATATATATAGAAAATAGAATCAAGCAAAGGGTAAAGTTGGTCCCCTAACTCATTTTTAACAATTGGCCGAAAATATTTGATTGGCACAGGGTGTATTTAACGTATTTGTTTACGGTGTGTTTAATACGCATTGGTTTGGCATTTCATAGAAAACCATTTTACGGATCCGGCAACGCTTACACACGATTTTCATCAAGTGTGCACCCTTTCTCTTGCTCTTTCCTCCCAATTCGGCACGGCTCTCTTTCTCCCTTTTCCACACACACACTTTTCACACGCATTTGACAAAATAATAAAAACAATTTCCGAATTCTAGTGAAAAGTTTTATACATTGCCGTCTGAGAAAGGCTATGCAAAAAGTTTTCATTTCGTCCGAAACAATGTCAAAATAGTAAATTAAATAATTAATTGTGAATTATTTGTCTGTTCTGGTTTAAAAATATGTCGAGAATCGCAATCAAAACAGAGAATCTGGATGATGAGCAGGAGGAGATTGGCATTGAAAGTAGAGCCGCAGAAGAGGATGGTGTTGGTCGCCAGGAGCAAGAAAAGGGTACTTCGTCAGCCGAACTAAGTAATTTGGTTACGGCAGGTAAACAGCACATTGAGGTGGGTCGAAATGTGAACATGGCGACGCGCCAGCTACAACAAATTCAGCCGCAACCTACTTCTTTGTTGAAAATGACTGGCGGAGGCGCGGGGGGCGGCGGTAGTGGTGCGGGTACGGGTGCGGTTGATAGTAACAGCCGTCTGGTCAACTCCGGCCATGATACCAATAGCACTAAAAAACCTACATTACCGAAATCACGCTGCGGAGAAGTCTTTGTATCCAATAATGCACGCCAGTGGACATTTATTTGCACCTATTGCAACAAAAGCACACGTGACATCGGCGAATTTATATGCCACATAAAAATCAAACATTTGGGTGGCTTTGCGGATGATGGTGGTGATGAAACAGACGATGGTGGAGAGTACGAGGGAAATCAACCAAATTTCTATGAGCAGGATCAAGATGTAAGCAAAGAATTTCGAAGATCATTCAAAAAACTGCATTCTATAATTTGCTAGTGCTGTACACCCTATAAAGCACTCAAAAGTTTGAGTATTTGGATAATCTTTAATTAATTCATCGGGCTAGTATATGTAAAAACGTATGTACATTCATCCAACATGCATACATATGTACATTAATGTATTAATGAGTTTCGCTTTGCAACATTTGCAAAAAAGCAAATCAATGTGTGTTTATCGATTTTTTTTTTTAAATAGAGCAGGCTTCTTGCAGTTCGTTTCATCCTTTTATGCTTGTTACAGTGTACACAATTCATGCGAATGTACCATCGCTTATGAAAAACGGATAAAAATCAGCAAAGAGATCGTTGATGTGTTCGCACGGCTGAAGAGGGTTGAAATGAACCGGTTTCAGTTTTCTTAAAGTACATTTCTTGCCTTAGTTTTTCCCTTACTTTTTAATCATGGTGTGTTTTTTTAACCGACTTCCAAAAAAGGAGGAGGTTATCAATTCATGGGAATATTTTTTTTTATGTATGTTCTATGTTACCGCATAACTTTGGACCACGTCAACCGATTTCGATAATTCTTTTTGCATCGGAGAGGGAGTGTCTCAGAGGTCCCATACTTATCTGGTTTAGTTTCGATCATTGGATAATGAAATATACATATATATATACATACATATATATATTTATATGAGAATTGAAGTCGGTTTTGTTTTTTGCTTAAAAATTACTTGTTATTGAAATGGTTTATAGTCGTTTGGACGCGGAGAAAAATACTTCGTTTTTTAAACTAAGTTTATTTAAACGATATAGCGAGCCAATTTTTTGCATATAGTAGTATATTGGGCACGATGGTATTAAATTAATAATCCTTTCCATGGATAGCTACATATATACCTATGTTCACATGAACTTTCTTTCAAAAGCCACTTTGATTTCATAAACTCAAAATCGTATGCTTGGCTTCGTAAAAACTGTCACTACTGTTAAGTGGCTCATGCCTCTAATCCTTGTCGAATCCATGTCTAACCTTTTGTAATTACCTTTGCAATCCTTAATACTTACCTTAGTAAGGGATGGAAATGGATTGGACAAAGATTAGAGACAAGAACCACTTAACAGTAGTAACAGTTTTTGTTTTTCCGAATTTTGAATTGCGTCGTTATTGCACAGGACCATCGGTATGTATGTATGTGTGTACATATTTTATTGCCTGCAGACTAGAAATAAGTTAATAGTACAAACGAATATTTTTAAAGCAACCTTTCTAAATATGAACCAAATTCGGGTTCTTCAAATATCTCGATTCATGCGCCACCTATCGGATCAACTCATCTTTCGTATTGTATTGTCATCGGGTTCTGAGCCAACTGTGAAGTTCCAGGTCTCTAGGTCATCGGGAAGTTGGTCAAAAATTGATTACAAGATTTGCCCCCCCATAAACATACNCTCTAGGTCATCGGGAAGTTGGTCAAAAATTGATTACAAGATTTGCCCCCTAAAACATAGTTACATATGTAAATAAAAGCTTGTAAGAACACCATATATTTTTTGGTAAATCAAATTGGAAAAAGCAACAACAGTTTTTCTTTGAAACCCAAAGTACCTACGAAAGAAGCCTTATGAGAAGATGTTGTTATATCTGAAATAGCAGATATGTATAACCTCTACCACTTTCATGTTGAATGCTTCAACTATTGTTGTAAATCAGGAAACGTCACTATCAATGCCAAAGAAATTTTTTAATAAACCTCGTAAGGTCGCCCTCAGCTACACTAAACTAAACTAAAATTCAAAATACAAGATTTATTGGCGTTTCAAGAACGGCGCTTTCTAAGCTAATTTAAAAAGTTTTTTGATAGATTCCTTTGCCACGTTTATTTTCAAGTCCATTTGTTCGTTGTAATCTGTTTGGTTTTTATATAAACATACCAAATCTAACACTCTTTCAAAATAGTATTTGGATTGCGGCAGCTATCTGGATGTGAACGTACACACAGAGTCCGAAGACTACAGTTTAAATGGCCAAGATCACTCGTCTTCATACCGGCATTTAAGCACTCATAATCTAACACAAAGACTACCGGTGATCGCTGCGGCAGTCTCAAAGCAAGAAGAAGTAAAAAGACAAGCTGATTTTAACAAAAAAAGGAAACTTAATAGTGCCGAAGATGACACTTTGGACGGCGAAAATGAATACGCTTTTGGCACTGCTAAAGAATCTGCCGCACAATGGCGTGCCGATCCAGCCAATTTCCAATCATACGCAAATAAATACACTTTAAAAACCTCCACCCCAGATGCTAACATGAAAAACAATGCCATAGCAAATGGCAGCGCTGCTTTTGACGCTACCGACTACACTTCGAATAAGGACGATTTTGATGCAGCCGGCGCCTATGAAAACGACGATGAAGAAGACTTTGATAATCAATTGCTGATTGCGCCCACTGACTCATTAGATGCGAGCATACTGGGTGCCACCCAAGATGGTAGTGGCGGTGAAATGAAAGCTAAGCGTCGCCAAATACGCGGTACCGCCTACTGTGCCCTGTGCAACAAAACCTTCCAATACTACTCACTGTATCGCAATCATATGATTAAACATTCTAATGAAACACCGTTTAAGTGTCCTATTTGCAAAAAAGGATTCAAGTCAAAACAGGCCATACGCTATCACATGAATACACATCAGAAAGAGAAGCAATTCAAATGCACCGTCTGCAGTGCATCGTATGGCACTGAGAACCACTTCATCTCCCATATTATGACTCATGAAAGCGCAACTGCATTTCCATGCATGGTTTGCGGTCAGGTACTAAGCAGCAGTAAGGAGCGCGATATTCATATGGCTAACCATAAGGAGGAGCGACCATTTCGTTGCGACTACTGCAACAAACTCTTCCGTTTACGCCACCATTTATCCAACCATTTGAAGATGCACCGCAAATACCGTTGCGATTATTGCAAGGAGATATTCACCAGCGCTATTTACTTGCGTAAACCTTACGCTTGTCCAGGGTGTGAAAGTTCACCCGATGCGCAGCAAGATGCAGCAAATGCTGCAAGTTTAAAAGCTGCACGTCTTGCTGGCAGCAAAAACGTAAACCCATTGGAAATTTTCGAAACGGTCATACCAGGACAACAACAACATGGTGATGACTACGCACAGATGGTAACCGACTCGGAAGGTGATGGGGAAGTTGATGAGGATGATGATGAGGGCGAGGACGACGATGATGATGAAAACGATAATGAACAACAAGACTCACCTATGAATGAAGATGGCGATGAAAACGAAGAAAGATCACTAAAAGACGCTGAGCAAGAAGATGCGGATGATGACGAAGATGATGCTGAGGATGATGAAGGAGAATATGAGGAAGGAGGCGCGGGTGGTAGTGGCGACCGAGCTATTGGCCAATATGGTGGCGGTATGAAGCGTTATGTATGCAAGTATTGCCCGCGCAGCTATTCGCACCCAAGCGGGCTAAACTACCACATAAGGCATAAACACTGCTAGTAAAAGAGCACAAATAAGAAGGCAAATTACAGATGAAGGAGCTATAGGGAGGGCATATAATTATTTATAAGAGAAGAGATTTTTTTCCAATTTATGCACTGACAAAAACAAAATATGTAGTTATAGAAAAGAAAAGCCGAGCGCAAAAAATGTTTAAAATAGCTGATTGTATACTATGTAAGAGATTTATTACTTTTAAGCATAAATATTATAAATACATATATTCTTTTAATATTTCTATTATTGTCAGGTGACTACAGACTTAAAATGCTAGCGCATGCCGGTACAAATACAACACAGTCTTTCCTAATAACATCTAGTCTAACCTTAAACCATTATTTTGTACCCACACAGGTAGATATAAACCTTGCATTACAGTGGACTATTGTATGATACCTCTAAGTTGTGCAATTGTTATTATGGGTAGCAGCGATTGCAGCTTATATACTCATGTCTGCGTATGATAACCGAAATTTAATTAGGTAATTAGTGAAAACATGTGGGACTCATTCTATAGCATCGTTCTGGTTGTTACCATGGCAAAAAAAAATTCGATTCGTTTATTAATGAAAATGCTGTCGTAATGCGATCGTCATTGCAAAAGTTTTCCCCCAATGGGCGTGTCTGGCAATCTGCTTAATTCACGTCCATGTAGGAGTGTCACATACACGAGATTGTAGCGGCAGCGATAGCTACGTTAGTAAATACCAAAGCATATATCTTGGTAAAAATTAAATACTCAAATGTATGTATGTAACTTCTGTTTCTTAAAAAAAAAAATAGCAGATTTTACTTTCACGTTCCTTGCATACAACTATTGGTACCCAAAAATTTTTTTTTTACATATTAACTGAAATTTATACACACACGTGTACATTATCTTCATTATTTTAGGTATAGTAAACAGTATTCTTCCGAGTAAGCCATCACATCCATCTTGAATCCGACCGAAATGTATTAGAACTGATGTTTGTGAAAATTAATGAAAAAATACTAACACGCATACATATGGACGTACATTTTTTCTCAAAGCATATTAATTTTTATAAAACATACCGATAAGGCTTGAATAGGCCTTGAAAACTATATTTATGTACATACGNGAGATTGTAGCGGCAGCGATAGCTACGTTAGTAAATACCAAAGCATATATCTTGGTAAAAATTAAATACTCAAATGTATGTATGTAACTTCTGTTTCTTAAAAAAAAAATTAGCAGATTTTACTTTCACGTTCCTTGCATACAACTATTGGTACCCAAACATTTTTTTTTACATATTAACTGAAATTTATACACTCACGTGTACATTATCTTCATTATTTTAGTTATAGTAAACAGTATTCTTCCGAGTAAGCCATCACATCCATCTTGAATCCGACCGAAATGTATTAGAACTGATGTTTGTGAAAATTAAAGAAAAAATACTAACACGCATACATATGGACGTACATTTTTTCTCAAAGCATATTAATTTTTATAAAACATACCGATAAGGCTTGAATAGGCCTTGAAAACTATATTTATGTACATACGTGCATTAAAAAAATAGAGTTACCAAAATTATTGAAGGTTATAGGGAACAAATTTCCGAAAAATCAGTGACTGGCCCAATGTTTTTGTATTACATACATATGTATGTACATATATCATCAAGTAGTCAGTCATCTAGTGTTTATAAAAGATAAAACACCAATCTGTTTTATTTATTTTTTTGTAATACATACATATGTTAAAGATTTCAAATCTCATTTGAATTTTAGAGCAATATTGTTCTAAATCTGCTAGCGCTAAAAATCTCATTTCTCACATAAAAAGCTCTTATTTTTGATGTTTAAGTTATTATTTTTTATATTTTATTTATTTTATTTTTTTGTTACACTTAAGTCCACGAATATACATGCATACATACTAAGTACAGCTTTGAAATTAATATGAATATGAACAGCTTTTTTACGATTATAGTGAGTTTAAGTGAATTATTAATGTAATAAAAAGGCAATTTTCATTATGAGTTACTCTTAGAATAGCAACAAAAATATGAATGCTGCTAAATTTATTTAAGGCAATTACGCGGAAAAAATATAAATGGCAAAACATAAACGTTTTCCAATAAAAGACAAAAGAAAAAACTAGCAAAGCAAAATTTTTGTAAAACTAGTTATTTACGTTATTATATTTTGGTATCTATCCAAAGATTCTTTACAACTTCACTGCGCCTAAAACACATGTAAAATTGCTAGGCGAAGACTTTGTAACGCTGAAATTAAATTTAAATTTACTTTATACAATTGTATTTACAAGCGAAATTAACTGTCATACAAATCTTGTCGTTCGATACNAAGACTTTGTAACGCTGAAATTAAATTTAAATTTACTTTATACAATTGTAGTTATTTACAAGCGAAATTAACTGTCCATACAAATCTTGTCGTTCGATACATGTATGTATGTATGCAGAAACAATTAGGTATATTTAATGCTTCATTTAAAATTATTTTCATTTTTACAACTATATCGTCAATGATCAAGCAAACACCAAAAGCGAGCATTATACGAACATTCAGCTTTCTGCTAAATCATGTTAATAGCTACTATGAATATTAAAAAAATATAAATACATATATGAAAATATTAAATGAGGTTTACTAAACAAAGCTCATACAGTGGTGGAAAAATAAATAGCGACGCGACATTTTAACAAGTTTTGCCTATTTTTCTTTTGTATATTTAATACGTATTATATTTTTAAAAGGGTATCTAACAAAAACCATATACATATTTGAAACTTAGTGCAAAAATTATAAAAATTCGGCAAAGTTACATCTAAATTTTCAACCTTTTAGTCAGGTTTTTTAGAATTTTGCATACTTTGTGTATGTAGTTTTGTTTTTAAATTAAATTTTAATGTATAGAAAAATCGCGTTGTTTTTTGGCAATTTTTTTCACGCCTTCTTTGCCATACAAAGAATGTTCGATAACCTTTTTTGCNTTAGTGCAAAAATTATAAAAATTCGGCAAAGTTACATCTAAATTTTCAACTTTTTAGTCAGATTTTTAGAATTTTGCATACTTTGTGTATGTAGTTTTGTTTTTAAATTAAATTTTAATGTATAGAAAAATCGCGTTGTTTTTTGTCAATTTTTTTCACGCCTTCTTTTCCATACAAAGAATGTTCGATAACCTTTTTTGTATGGAAATGCGTAATACAGTCAGAAAAAAATTATCTTAGATAATGAGCTTTACTTTTATAAAAAAAAAAAATTATAAATAATATATGTAAATAAAAGAAAAATAGACAAAACTTTTTAAAATGTCGCCTTATTATTTATTTTTCTACCACTGTAGACACAGTAGGTTATTAATTGAATAACTCTTATATAAACGTATTTTTTAATGTGACAACACACGTTCGCCGAAGCTAAGCGAATTTAGCAACGTAACCGAATTCAAACTGTAAATACTACTCCATTGATATTCATTATTAAATAAACATAAAACACAAGTCGTCGTTTGCATTTATATTGCATATTTTTCTGAAATATCGCTAAAGCTACCCTACCTGGCGGATCGCCGTTGATTTCGTTGGGGAGAGTGTTAAGCTTCTTGCAGTGAAGAAGCGAGAAAGGCTGTAGAGATAGCCGTTTACTTTTGAGCAGAGGTCATCAATTCCATTCCCAGACGCCAATATCGAGCTGTCGTCAGCGCATCAGATCAGGTAAACTCTTTCAGGTGTCTGGGGGAGCTTCGAGAACCCCATGTTTTATTCTTCTAGGTTTCGAGGTTTGATCTCGGAAGATTACTGACAACTGTGGACCACTCAAGTAATTCGCCGACCACCGTTTGAGTCGTTGTGGGAGAGAGGAAGCCTCAATGTCTTCTAGGGGCGGTTGCGATTTAGGTCACGAGTTATTTGGGTGCTTATGGCGTTAAGTGCTGTTGATGGGCTATGCACTTTCCGGAAACCATGCTGATGCTTCGCTGGGGTCAGGTGGTGGGTGAAGTACGGGAGTAGAAGGGCCTCTAGTGTTTTCGCGACCGGGGAAAGGAGCGTTATCGGGCAATAAGAGTATCCTTTGTTGGCGGGTTTCCTCGGTTTCAGCAGTGGGACCACCCTCCCTGATTTCCACACATCAGGAATGATGAGTGGCCATTGACAGGTAAAGGACTTATATGAGGTATGCTACTCCCGCGGGCTCCAAATGTTTCAGCATCAGCATGCAAATTCCGTCGGGCTTTGGAGGCTTTCGCCTTCCCTTCCTTCACTTCGCCGCTGGTGAAAGTAAGTGGTGCATTGTTTTTGGGCAGCTAGTGCAGCCTCCGACGAGGTTGGAGAGGGAACGGACGGATCATCTGAGCTTACTCACACTAGAGGGGAAGTTACAGGTCTTCAAGTGCTCCCCACTTTTTCCGCTTATACTGATTTACCAGTTGCCGAATCCCTCCAAATTAGGGTCCTTCAGGCGAGGACCCGCAGGATCGACCTGGTGTAGGTGGTCACACTCATTTGCTGCTTCTGCCGGAAAATTTGGGGGACTTCCGCGATGAGTCCGAATGGTACCCAGCCGAACTGGCGTTTGCTAGCGGATGGTGACATTTGGCTTCATCAACAGGGGGCCACAAGGTATTGGGATAATTGATGGGGTTCGACGATCTTAAAGAGGATAGATCGCCGACACAACAGCCCTTGGTCGGGTAAAACTCGAGTCATTCCGGTACGTAGAACCGGCTGGCGTGGGAATGTTTAAATGCCTGCGATCTGCTTCTGTATAGACAGGCAGAACGCAACATATCAAATATCTAACCATTTGGCCGATAATGAGGGCCAGTGCTTACTAATTATGTTCATATGTATGCATGTATGTCTGTACCGTTGTTGTTTAAGGGTTAAAGTGCGCGCTACCATTCCGTAGGGCCTGGGATCTAACCAAAGTTTCCGATTAACATAAAAAATAAAATAAAAAAGAACGTGTTTTTCTAACAGCGGTCGCCCTTCGACAAGCAATGTAGAGTCTCGTCTTTCGGAGTATAACTGTAGGTGCCTCCCCTTTGTGTGACAACAAGGCGCACACCACAGATCGGAAGAGAAGCTCGGCCAAACACTAATAAATATATTGTGTACGCGCCATTCTTATAAATTATCAGAACTGTTACGATTAATTATATTTTATTCACTGATACCAAACATGACATGCAATCGGTTTTAGTGCATAAAATATTTGAGAATTGAAAATGCCTTACCAATATAACTTTGTAAGGACGAAAACCGCAAATGAAGCCACGTTTCAACATTTCCGGAACAACTCATTTTATATCCGGCATTTCGAACAAAGTTCGTGTTCGTTCGCCATCTGTTTTTTATTTTATTTTTTTTCTTTGAAATGGATGATTTTATATTTATACTGTGGAAAGCGGTTTTATATGGATTGCGAATTTAAGATACCATCTAAATACTCATATTTAATAAATTATTAAGTAAAAGGAAACTCTTTTGAAATATATTGAATGCAAAATAAATGCGAAATTTTCGTACCTGGCAAGGCCCTTTGCCGAATGACGACGAAATGAATAAGACGATTGTAAATTTTGCTTTGTGCGGAGGCGAGTTTATTTTCATTTTCATTTTCCAAATTTTTACAGTTTCTGTACGTTTATACTTGCAAAAATTTGCAGAAAAAGCTTACAAGCGCGTGTAAAATTTAAACGCAAAATTACTTAAGATCAGTTTGGCATAAATAGTGAAGCCAACGGCATTTGCTATCACTGGTCGTCTGGCAAAGGCAAAAGCGATTGATTAGCAGAATTGAGAAGGAAGTGCAAGGAGGAAGAGGAAGTAGAGTAAAACGAAAAGTAAAGTCTGTGCTTGGTTGAAAGACGTAAAATAAAATATATGTGTGTGGTCAAGGGAAGGGAAGAAAGTGCACAAACGAATAAATACTTGGGGTGAGAATACTGCAAAGGCAATAGAACAACAAGGTCCACAGCAACAGTGCGAGACGATGCATTTTAAACGTCTCTAAAAAGGAAACAAAGCAGAAAACATATCCAGTCGGCAGAAGGAAGAGGCAAGAAAAGTATCCATCAGACGACGGCGATGACGACTCTGTTGTAGAACGGAAAGCACAAAAAAGTGTGAAAGGTCAGCAGACAGACGAAGAGGAGACGGAAAATAAAGAAACCGTGCAAAATAGTATACTCAGCCAGTAAGCAAAGAATCATACATATTTAATATACATATAAGTATAAAGCAATCGTAGCCGCAAAAAGTATAGAAAATATAATTTACGCCAAATTTTAACGTAAAAATTTATTATGTAGAACTGTCGATTTCCTTTAAATTGCATGGGCCTAGATGAATGTTTGAAATATCCTTGAATGTACTTATATACATACATTTATCCGACAAGACAAGACTAAAAAAATTCATTCATTCCACTTAGAATTGCAGTATACATATTGGCCACAAGTCTGGATTGGTGAGTTTGAAAAGAGCAAATATTTTCTGTATTACTAGCTCAGGTTCGTTATAGTAATTAATAAGGACTTTTTTAGTTATGCAATGAAATGTATATTTACATATATATGTATGATCACAAATTATGCTTTTTAGGAACTCGCCAGTAATCTTATTATTTGCTACTAGCTGCCATTGTAAGCAACCGACCGCGCAAGTGCTAACGACCACCGCCAGATTATCATACATTTCACAGATATTTCTTCGTACCGGAAGCAGGTGTATATATTTAGGACAAGCCGGATCTATAGCATTTGTTGACGACTCTACCAGTCGACCAGTGCACGCTTGCTGGGCCACGTGCGATGTTGCCATTCACCCCACAAGTAGTTAAACGTTTGTTAGCACTCAAGAAGGGCAACGAAGATACGGTCGAGGGGAAGTGGTCAGAAAAGGCGGTTAAAAATCTAGTAAAGAAAGTGAAGAAGAACATACAACTCGAAGAGTTAGAACGTGCCATTTCTACACAAAATTGTAATACACGCTGTGTCACCGTACCGCGTAGTAAGCCAGGCGCTACTGGCGAAAATTTGCGCAAAGGACAACCTCATGTCATATATTGCCGCGTATGGCGTTGGCCAGATCTACAATCTCAGAATGAATTGAAAGCTTTGGATCATTGCGAATACGCTTTTCACTTGCGTAAAGACGAGATTTGTATCAATCCATATCATTACAAAAAGATTGAACTATCGATTTTGGTGCCAAAATCATTGCCTACACCGCCTGACTCAATTACCGATTATCCATTGGATAATCACACCCACCAAATACCTAATAATACAGAGTACAATGCCGCTACTATACGCAGCGCCTCTTTGAGTCCGCCACAGTATATGGAGTTGTCAAGTCACCATCATCAACAACAACAGCATTCGCCGGGTAGTTTAGTTGGTTTGGGCATGAGTGCAGCTCAACAACAACAACAACAAATCAATGGCTCACTTGTAGGATCTGGCGCTTGTAACATGGACTCGCAATCAAGTGTGCTAAGTGTTGGCAGTAGCATTCCCAACACGGGCACACCTCCACCTGGCTACATGAGCGAAGATGGTGATCCCATTGACCCGAATGACAATATGAACATGTCGAGGTTGACGCCACCAGTCGATGCTAGTCCCGTAATGTACCATGAGCCCGCTTTCTGGTGCTCAATTTCTTATTATGAACTTAACACGCGTGTCGGTGAAACCTTCCATGCCTCGCAACCATCTATTACAGTAGATGGTTTCACCGATCCCTCAAACTCTGAGCGTTTCTGTCTTGGCCTACTCTCCAATGTAAATCGTAATGAAGTGGTTGAACAGACTCGTCGCCACATTGGCAAAGGAGTACGTCTTTATTATATTGGGGGTGAGGTGTTCGCAGAATGCCTCAGTGATTCGTCAATATTTGTGCAAAGTCCTAATTGTAATCAACGCTATGGATGGCATCCAGCTACTGTCTGTAAAATACCACCAGGATGTAATTTGAAAATCTTTAATAATCAAGAATTCGCAGCATTGCTATCGCAATCAGTATCACAGGGTTTTGAGGCCGTATATCAATTAACGCGTATGTGTACCATACGCATGTCATTTGTGAAGGGTTGGGGTGCAGAATATAGACGTCAGACGGTTACTTCAACTCCGTGTTGGATTGAGTTGCATTTGAATGGGCCGCTACAATGGTTGGATCGTGTTCTCACGCAGATGGGTTCGCCGCGCTTGCCATGCAGCTCCATGTCTTAAACACACAGAAACGCATAAAAGGAAAAAATGTGAAGCGAGAAAGATGAAAAAAGGAGTTAGGAGTGCATTAATGCATTAAAATCAATGCCAACCGAGGAGTAACCTATGTTTGCACATATATATGTATGTATGTATTGAATAAGTATACGTAAAAATTAGTGATTCAAATAATTGGAAACTTTTTTTCTAAAATGTTTCAAATGCCCTTAATCGTGGTTGTTTTGTGTGAGATTCCCTAGAAATTAAATTCGAACGGTGTTCACATGAGGCGATTTTCCAGGCAATTTAAGAGGCGATTAGTTGAACCAAAAGTTGGCTGCACCCCAAGCTTGCTCCCCAACTTCATTGGAAGCGGTTAGTTCATACCAGGCGATTGTTGATTTCAACTAAAAGTTGCCTGTAAAATCGCCTCATGCAAACACCATATTAAAGATAGAAGCGATGTTAAAATAAATTTTTGCAATTTATTGCCAATGACAGATACACAGAAACGAAATATTTGCAAGGATTATTCAAATTGTTATATGTACATATAAAGAAGGTAATATAAAAAATAGGACAATGCACTTACAGGTGTATGATCACAGTGGACATAACATTGAAATTCATATTTACTACATAAAGGTAAAGACAGCTCACATTTTGTAAAAAACAATCACACTGTGTAAGGTGTGTATTGTATATTTTTGCAATGAACTTTCACTAATACACAGCTATGCCAACACGAAATAGTACGTATTATTCTCACCCGCAAGGATGTTATCAAGTAGCAAAGCAGTTGAAATTAGGAAACATTAAGAGCTTTTAGATTTTAAACTTTTAACAATAGATTTTGTACCATTTACAGATTTACATGGATCAAGTACATGTTAACTCATACATATGTACATACATATACAATAATTATATATGTATACAAAATAAATATATACAAAACCAAAAACATATATGTACATACATATGTACATATGTAGGTAAAAGAACAGCACGTTTGGGATATTTGCTATAAGCAAATTGTAGGAATTTAAAAATTTTAAACAGATCGTAAGATCTAAAAATGAAAACTTGGCTAAAAACTGCGGGATATTAGCTGTAAAAGTTTGATAAAAAAAAGTCTATATAAAATATGTCTGTATAACCATAATTTAAGATGCTCCTTAATAAGGTTTTTTTTGTGCTTTAACAAAATGAAAAAGATATTTACTTGTTATATGTATGTATAGAAGCTGAGCAAAACGTGAAAATACTTGTCACTTACATTTAGTCGGCTGTCTACAATGGAACTAGTTCGCAATAATTATTAATGCAAATATGTGTTTTAAAAAATAATTTAATTGTCGTTTTGTAATACACTTTTTCGATATTGATATATTTTACCATACATTTACAATGGGGTCTTTCAATACAAATTTTTTTGTACATACATATGTAGGTATGCAATTGAAAATTACATATTTTAAAATATTCTGAGCTGTTTAGACGAAAGAAGCTGCAATACAATTTATTTACATACATAAATATGCATAAAAATATATTAAACACATATGGGTGTTTCCAGCGGAAGGTCCACCACGACAAAAAAATAAAAGTTTTATATCTAACGTGTTTACGGGCCGATTTGTCTGCTTTTTTAAATATATACTGGCTATATAAGTAGAATCATGTTTGCGTAAAATGGTCTTCCTAGGTAGTGCCAAGGTCGAGATATTTCGAAAAACCGTATTTATGGTCCGATTTGGTTCGAATTTGGGGTATGTATTTGAAACATAATAAATCATAGATTTCCAACAAATTGACCCTGAATTGGCGCTGAAGTCAAAATATAAAGTATATTCGACGTAAAATACATGTTTTATTTGCGTTAAAAATTCATTTAAAAGCAATATTAACAAAAATATAACGATGGAAATTTATGTCACGTGACGCCCCGTCACGTCACGTTTCACACTTGGGGTTGTTAAAGAAAATTGAAACAATTTGCATTAATTCAAAAAAATCTAAAAACAACTAGAATAGCTCCAAATCATATTAAAATAAGTTTCATGAAAATAGCCATCCACAATTCACAGAGTTTTGCGATTTTGTAAGAAAAGAAAAAATCGACATTTTTTGTCACGTAACGACCCTCTCTTTAAATACTTATATTTCAGGACCAAGCAGTTCGATTGATTTCATTTTTCGGTTAGCTAATTATGTGCTATACAATGGCCCAAAAAAGTTAAAGAAAACAAATGGTATTCCTTTTTTGTATCACATTGAAACGTACGACTGTCACGTACGCGACGTATGGAAATACCCATATGTATGTATGTATGTATATCCACCCACTGTGATCCCGCGTCATGGCATCATGGCCAAATTACAATTCAAGTCAAAGTCAAACAATTAAACTGCCATACATTTTTAAATAATTAGATTTTTAACTACAATAAATGCATTTTTCGTTTACTTGGCTCAAATAAATAAACTCCACAGTTCCAATTGGGACCCAACACCATACCATAACAAAACGACATACATATGTATGTACTGACGCGAAAATCGCTTAAATGTATATATCACAAGCGAAAAACATTAATTAGCCTCAGCATAAAGCCACTTAAAGAATAATTAATTTTTGGTTACAAATCAGTAATACTACGAAATACTATTTTTGGTTATGTAATCTTCTTCGATGTTAAAAAAGTATAAACTTCATATGTTTTATAATATATGTCCGATCATTATTACGGTTAATTTTCCTGTTAAATTTAGTTTTAGTTGAGTTTGGTATCAGCTCGATTAAATATAAGTGAATCTAAGTCCCACTTTATTGCTCTATAATATTACACAATATATGTATACTCCATTATATCAGTAATAATAAAACTAATAAAATAAAAATAAAAAAAAATAAAACTGTTTTTATACCTATGTAGGTGGGATTCCAGAAATTTCAAACGCGTAAAATCTCTAAATGAATAACATATGTGCCTAAAAATATGCAATACGAAATTGGTTCAGTATAAATCCTTACCATAAGATAATGCATAATGTGACCAACCGTACTTCTTTCGGAAGTACAGTACTTATTTTTGAGCCGTTGTACTTTGTACTTCGAAGTACAGTCAAATATACTTCTTGCAATATTTTGTACTACCTTTTAAGTTGAGTTTCGAAAAATTCTAAAAGGTTAGTCATCTCAGTTAAAAATGGTACTCGTAGATCAACACATAGCTGACAAATTGACATTTAGCTGACAAATTTCATTGTAAGGGCCTGTGCCAATCGGTAACTTTTTTCTCCGTGGTGCGACGGGGTGAAAACATTTGCTACGGTGTAGTACAATTAAATTGAATTTTGCTGTGCCGAATGCAAAGTAAAATTTTGACAGTTGAAAAACCAAACAAACGCTCGTGCGAAAGTTAATTTATATTCTTATAACTCCAGTCCACATACATATCGCGAACTTTCTTCAAAGGTGAACTAATTTAATATTTAACTTATCTTGTCAATTTCACTGAATTACGTTTTTCCAAAAGTATTTTCAAAAGTATTTTCGACAGTAGACTTTCTTAGACCGCTTTAATTTAACACCAGAATTGTAATATTTAAAATATTACTCAAATATTCCCGGTAGCAAACTTTCCTAACCGTCTTTATTTTGATACCCATATTGCAATATTTAATTTATCTTAATTAAAACAAACAAAAGTTTGCAAACAGGTGGCAACGTTCCCAAAAAAAATTTCGGCCGTGACCCTTTTGAAACTTCTTTATTTTGACAGCCATATTGCAATATTTAATGTATCAATTTTAGCAAAACTCTAATTTTCAAACAGGTGGCAACTCTAGCAGTGGCCACATTGCGTGTTTGTCACTGACACGGTTTATGTCAAAAATTTTGAAGTGAAACTACCTTCTAAAAATTATTGTATCATGGGTATTTCCATGGAAGCGTTGAATATTTTTAGATAGAAAGTAAGCGTGGCGATTTATGAACCACCGTCGAAGCAATGAAAGTAATTTCCCCTTAGTACAATTATATTAAATTCATTTTATTATATATTATATTTAATTCAATTATATTATTATTAGGGAAATGTTTAGTTATTGGCCCACAGTTTTGGGGGTGGCCTCCTAAACGTCTCCCATTCCCACTTTACGACATTACAGCTGAAAAGTTGGTAGATCTACCAATAAAGTGGTGAAGTCCATGCACCGGGTCAGCCATTTTTTGTAGGGCTAGTAGAAAAAAGTCGAAAAGTCATCGAGTGGGAGTCTATTCTTGTCGTTTTGAGGCAGCTGACCTCGATTCCAAAAAATCGAGTTTTTTCAGCAAAAAACCGATTTTTGACTAATGTCTGAGTCGACATTTCCATTCCGAACGAAGTGAATTAAACTGGCTACACACGACGAACATCTGCGCGCACATATGCGCCAACATGCTCGCTGTCGTTTGCTACAGACGGCGAGCGGCTCATAAGTGATTTTGTACTCAAAGCGTAAACATGGAAAGACGGGGATGATGCAATTGCAATGCTTTTAACTTAACTTTTTTATGTATGTGTTACTTAAATTTATTTATACTTTACTTGTATGTACGTACATACATATACTTATAGTAATTTAGCCTCATTTATCAAAAATTCAATTAAATAACATGGCTTGGATGCATTTATCCGCCGATGTGCACACTTCAAGCATCAACACAAAATGAGGTTGTTGTTTTTGTTTCCAATGCGATGCTCGCATACCCAATAATGATAGAATACAAGATTGCGCCCAAGGCGAATTAATATAAGGTGATAGCAGGAGTACAAAAACAAAAATTTACATGTATTTTGTTTTTGCTTTGGCGGCATAAACTGTCAAAATCTGTAAGAGTGTGTGTAGAAATTCAAACAAAATTTTTCAATTTGATATCAGAAGCCGTGCGGCGAAACACATACACAAAATCAGCTGAGCTAGTAACACCACCTTATATAAATTCGCCTTGATTGCGCCGTCCTGGGCGTTGACATTTGTGTACCACAAGTAAACAAAGAATAGAGCGAAAAGAAGAACGAGTTGAAACTGCCAAAGCAGTTCAACTTATAGGATTATCTGCTTGATAAAGTTATCGGTTTAGATGAATACCACTAATAATAATTGTTGATAATGTAATTTTTTAATCGGTTGTTTCATTCATACACATAGTTTCTTTCCGTTTCATTCACATGGCGGCAAAAAATTACGTCGGAGCGAAAAAGAATACTTGTTTATTCGTTCGTTCATGAAATAATGCTGCCAAAATTTGTTCTCCTTGAACCAATACTGCAAAAGTCAAAAGCGCTAGGAAAGAGAATACGCTATCAATAAACGATAGTGGCGATAGTACTAAAACTATCAATAGTTATTTCAAGTTACCAGACTATCGATACTATCGATAGTATCGTCGATAGTTTGACAGCTCTACTTCGCAGACATCGATGCATCATTCGCAACTCTATTTCCAAAACAATTTACTGCCGCAATTACCATAAACAAATAACACAGTTTCTTAAATATATAAATGTAAATTTATAAGACTTGGCGAAATTATTTTAGAATTGGAGTTGGCGCTGTAGCCTGAGAGCTGGCCAAATAAATCTTCTGCCTGTCATACAGCTCAGAAGTAACTTAAACCCCTAAAAAAATAAACAATTTATCGCACATTAAAAAAAAATGTTTATACCTTAGATATATGGCAGCTACTACAGTGCAAAAGTTTCATTGTGGCGAAGTATTCGTTTCCGCCAATCTTTGCGTGACCGTTGAGTGTAAGTGGTGCAATGAAAAATTTGGTGTCTATAGTAAATTTTTGGATCATATATTTGGAGAACACTTCGATGATTGGAATTCAGCAGAAGAAACAAAGCGCCAACTTCCAAATAAAGTGGAAACTGTTACCGACGAGGATTTTACTGAGTCTCCCAATGAAATTCAATATATAGAAATTGAACCCATTAGTTTGAACGAATATTCTTTCGAAGGTGACGAACAAGAGGAGGATTTCATAACAGAAAAGCTAGCGCCAATGGATGATGACGCGATAAATGTTTCAGAAAATATAACCGTAAGCTCATTTGATTATCAATGATCCATGTACATACATCGTATACTATTTTTCCAGGAGGAGCAAGAGGAGAAGCGTACTCCTAAAACTTCGCAACCCACTTGGCGACCGGTGCGAGTATTTGCGACTTATAAAAATTCGACAGCCATCGCGGACAAACGAAAATATAAATGTAAAATATGCGGCTTCGCTGTAACTGACATTCACAACTTACGCGGCCATGAGAAACGACACAGTAATATAAAGCCTTACACTTGCCTAAAATGTGACAAAGCATTCTATACGCGCACGGAATTGAACACGCATACTAGACGGCACAATGGCGAAAAGCCTTTTGTCTGTTCATATTGCGGTAAAAGTTTTATAACCGCTGCAATATTAACTAGACATGAAAAACGGCATCTTGGCAAGAGGGAACATAAATGTGATCAATGTGAGAAGAGCTTCTTTGATGGTTTTCAGCTTCGAGATCACGCTGTTGTGCATACCCAGGAACGTAATTATGAGTGCGAGACATGCAAAGCCAAGTTTACTCGCAAAAAAACGCTCAAGACACATATGAAATTGCATGAAAATGCGTTAGGCTATCAATGTATCATCTGCCATATGCGTTTCAACCAGCGACCTACGTTGCTTTGGCATGTGAAGACTAAACATAGCGTACTGCGGTCAGATGCAGAAAGCAAAGACTCAATTACGGCTACTGATTCTATCGGAGAATCTAACGAGTCAAATTAATTTGTAATTGCATACGTATTTTTGTTGTATTAAAATAATTCAACACAAATAAAACGGGTCTTTAAATCAAAGGCTTTGTTCCGTGTTGCGTGAAACTGCGTTAGGCTATGAATGTATCATCTGCCATATGCGTTTCAACCAGCGACCTACGTTGCTTTGGCATGTGAAGACTAAACATAGCGTACTGCGTGCAGATACAAAAAGCAAAGACTCAATTACAGCTACAGAGAATCTTACGATCAAATTAATTTGTAATTGCATGCGTATTTTTGTTGCATTAAAATAATTCCACACAATAAAACGAGTCTTTGTTCGACATGCTTCGCGACCTTGGTCCTGCAAAAATATTAAAGCTGGGTTATGCAAGACTTAGTCTTGACTTGCCTTACCTAGAAACTTAGGTCAGATTTTCGAAATTAAAAATGGCGGCTCCTATATGCTGACCAAATTTTATAATTTTTTTCATTTTCAGCGTAAACTCATATAAACAGGAAGTTTTCGAGGGCGATGATTTCGAATCTGATATCAGATTTTATTAATTCAAAATGGCGGATCCAATATGGCAGGCGAATTTTATAATTTTTTTCTTATTCACCAAAAACTTATATAAGAGGGCTTTTCGAATTCGATGATTTAAAATCTGAGGTGGGATTTTTGAAATTGAAAATGGCGGATCCAATATGGCGTTATCGGAAAAAAATTTTAGCTTAAACTTTTTTTAGCTTTTGCATTTTTCACCTACGTACTTGCAATTTCCTTTATGTAGTTGTTATATTCTTCGGATGTACTCCCTCTAATAATAGGTTCATTCCTTATTTTTTGGACTAAAATCTGAAAAGTGTCAAAATGCCAGAGCGTAAGCAAAATGCGCTTACCAAAAGAGAATAACAGGAAAAGTAAAGGAACGCAAAAAACCAAATTTTTAGTCCAAAGAATGGCAACAACAAAGCTAACGTCAAATAAGTAGTCTGTTCCAATAGCAGTCCGGTTTACAGGATTTAGTCAGAACTTACAGGAAGTCACTCCTATTGACATAAAACCTGTAAGCGGGAACACATTTGAGAGACTAACTGAGCAAATGTTCCCAGTCAGAAGTTACAGGATTTAGTCCGAAGTTTTTTTTCCTGTAAGTTCATGAAAAGTGTCAACCGATCAGCTGATTTACATGTGCAAACAAAAACAGAAAGCAGTGAAAGCAAAGAACCTTATAAGTATGTTCCTTTGAACTTCGGACTAAAACCTGTGGAACTGTCAAACTACAATTTTACTCCCTCAAATAAGAGTAAAAGGAGAACAGATGCAGAAGTGCATAGGAACGCAAAAAGCACTATTTCCTATAAAAACGTCAGTCGGTTTGTTTACATGTCATTTGTACAACACTGATTTAGCTGAAATATCCTTAGGCTGAAAATAGCCTTAGGCTGTGTGCGAGTTTACCTAAATTTTAGTACCTAAACTAATATTCCACTGGGGATTTCCAGCACTGCTACAATTTAGGAAAACAGCTGCTAAAACTGTGCGAGTTCATGTTACTTTTAATAAATACATATATCTATAAAATAAATAATTTTGCGGCAGCTTTGGGACTATTTAACAATATAATAAATTTGCAACAGAAAAGGGCAATGTTCCATTCTGAAATCTGTCAAACGAAAACAAGTTTTCGCTGAAAACCACTTGAAAACTCACGTTCCACTCAATCCAATCGGTGTCTGCACTAGTTTTTTTTTTTTGATTATTTATCGAAGTGGAAGTCATATTTTATCATCTTTAATACGCCATTTCGGATTTATTGTTCTAACGACAGATAAATTAATATTTCATATCAATAATTGCATTAAAAACGATATTTCTTGCCCGCGCTTGATTAAAAAGGAAAAATATTTCACATAATTTTATTTATTTGCAACAGCTGACGAGCGACGCACGCGAAAATTTGAGAGTTGGCCATCTTTTTGCTCCGTGTTGTCGAATTTTGGCTGCATTTGAGTTCATGTATTCATAGTCAGCTGTTGAAGCGACGCCAACGCCAACGCAACGCCGAAGTTCTATGTGGAGGGCCTTTATCTGGCATCAGCTTAAATGTTTTCGATAATGAAAAACCATCGATTCTATCGATAATGCCATCGATAGTTTTCCAGAACTATTTATTCGGGAACTTTGATCCGGACGAGTAACAAATAATTATTTTCCAATGGACCACGTATCTGGAGAACACTTCGAGTATTTAAATAGACCAAAAAAAACTAAGCGCCAGCATCATAAGCAAGTGGCAACTGTTACTGAGGAGGAATTCACTGAGTCTCCCAGAGGTATTGAATACATAGAAATTGAGCCCATTAGTTGGAACGAATATTCCTTGAAAGGTGAGGAACAAGAGGATTTGATAACAGACGATGACGCGGTGAATGTTACAGTAAGTATAACCGTAAGCACATTGATTACAGTAATACATTTCGCACATTTGCTGCAGAGTCAATCCAAAAAATCAAAAGGTCAAGGAAAACCATGATTTAATAATTTTATTATTATTGAATCATGAAGGAAAACGGCTTTAAAGTTTAGAATTTACATACATATTTCACAGCAACGAAATTTTTGCACAACATGGAGCAACGGGTAGCGGACATTTCTGCATATTTAACTGGATTTTGAGTTATGACACTTGCAGGAAATGTGCGGTATATATGTACATTATATACACGATTCTTGCATCATATACTATCTTTCAAGGATGAACAAAAGGAGGAGCCCACTCCTAAAACTTCGCAAACTTCTCGGCGCAAGTTGCGAGCTTTAGCGACTTATAAAAACTCGACAGCCATCGAGGGAAAACGAAAATATAAATGTAGAATATGCGAGTACGCTGCAAATGACATTAGTAACTTGCGAGGCCATGAGAAACGACACAGTAATATAAAGCCTTACGGGTGCCTAAAATGTGACAAAGCATTTTATACGCGCACAGATTTGAACAACCATACCAGACGGCACAATGGAGAAAAGCCTTTTATCTGTTGTTATTGCGGCAATAGATTTGTAACCGCTGGAATATTAAATAAGCATGAAAAATGGCATCTTGGCAAGAGGGAACATAAATGTGATCAATGTGAGAAGCGCTTCTTTCACGCATCTCACCTGCGAAATCACACGGTTGTGCACACCCAGGAACGCAATTATGAATGCGAGACATGTCAAGCCAAGTTCACCCTCAAGAGATCGCTCGAGCTACATATGAAATTACATGAAAATGCGTTAGCTTATGAATGTATCATCTGCCATACGCGTTTCAACCAGCGATGTACGTTGCGTTCGCATATGAAGACTAAACATAAAGTACTGCGTGCGGATGCCGAAAGCAAAAACTCTGTTACAGATATTGATTCTATCGGAGAAGCTTGAAAGTCAAATTAATTAGTAATTAGTAAGCATTTATGGTAGCCTTGATTAAAGATTGTCGTATGTTTTTCGACAAGTTTTTGGAAATCTCTAGTGAACTTTGGAATGCAGTTTCTCAGACACGCGAAGATAAATATTCTCCAGAGAATCGGTGAGAGTGTTATAGTTATTAGGTCCCAAAATTCTTCAATTATTTCATTTTTATTGTTATATAATTTTGAGCTTATGAAGCATGATTCAAAAATAATTATTTAATTATTGAATCATGCTTATGAAGGTTTCTTTAGAAAATTTTGTCATATGCGAATATCGGTTCGTAATTGGGGCGCCAATCACGAATGAGAGAGCGAATTACGAATGGGAGAGCGAATCACTTGCATCGTTTAGACTGCGTTTTGTCGACGCGATTTTTCACTTTCCCTTTTGGTGTTGCCTATTTCATTAACACCCGATTTACATGATTCAAGTACTTGAAAGCAATTCTTGCTCATTCTCTTTTGTGTTTTCTATTTGCTTTTACACGTTTCAATTCTGTTGAATTCAAGTTTTTGGTTCTTTAAATGGGAAGCAACGAAAATGCCAAAAGCAAAGCAAGAAAGTTGAAACGACTTGACGGTACAGACGCATGTGTACTCGTCCCTTTTCTTCTCACCCCCTCTCTTCCACATGCGAGCAGAATTGAATTCAATACTTGAACTGTGTAAAAGCAGTCTTACACACGACGATTTTTGTGTATGCAATTGTTGTTGTCAGCTGTGAACCGCTAACTCAATTTACACAGACGAACGAGAGCACAAAGCGTGTTGCTCGAGCACGAGCAACTCGGTGCCCCTCTCCTTTCCTCGTCACGCTCTCTCCCACAAACGTCGAGTTGCGGCAACAAAAATCGCCGTGTGTAAATGAGCACTTAACATTTACTGTGGGGAAGAAAAAGATTTTGGTTTTGTTTTTTTCGTAGTAAAACTGTAAACAAAGGATGAAAGAAATGTCAATTAACGGGCGGTGCGAACAGTTGACAGCCCACAATCCCAAAACTCGTTTTCAAAGTGTTTTCGTTGTCGGTCCGACATGGTATTAGGTTATATTTCAAATGTAAATATAAACAGTGCTTAAGAGGATGATTTGATGAGAAATAATTAGTCAAATGAACATATGGATGAACAATTTAAGTCCAGTGTATATTTTTTTTTTATTTTTATGACGGTGGGAAATATTCCCAATCAAAAAGAAAATTGCGCGTCAGAAAATGTAAAAATGGCGTAAGTTGCAAGTCTTTACTAGTTGTGCGTTAAATAACTTTTTCTGATAATTTTCTCTTCCTCTCAATTGCGTTGCAAGTACCACTGGAAAAGATTTTGAAAGTACCTAATGTCAAATGGTTGACAACCATGGTGAAACGAACACGATCCAGAAAATAAAGGTCGCGCCATTCGCGGACCGCTAACCCTCTCTTCGTCGATTTGACAGCATCCACCCAATCGCTGACGTCATAATATACTTTTGTTTACATTCACTGTTGCCAACTTGATGCTTTTCGCACCAAATTTAGTGGGTATTCAAAACGCGAAAATTTGTGAGTTTTGTGCTTGGTGCGTTTTTGGTGCTTTTGTTTTTAGTTTGAAGACTTCAAATTAAAAAATCTTGAAAAAATTGAAGCAGAAATGTGAAGTGATAGCTGAGTTTGTTTTTTGCTTGCGTAACAGCTCAACCTAATATTAGGTTCGTTCGCGTAGCTGTTAATTGTTCATGTTTAACCAAAACTTACAAGTTTTTGCGTTCGCGTACGCNTAGTTGCGTTCGCGTAGCTGTTAATTGTTCATGTTTAACCAAAACTTACAAGTTTTTGCGTTTGCGTACGCAAAAAACTTGCAAAGTAGGGGAAATTTAGAGAGCAAAGTGACATTACATTTTGAGGGGAGCTGATGGTTTCTGCTGGAAAAATTTTTGCCAACAGCAATTTGCCAACAGGAAAACAGCTGATCAAAAACAGCTGGTTGGCATTTACGCAAATCACAAGGTGCAATCCCGTATTCCTCGGACTCGGACTACACCTTTTCCAAGAGTACTTCAGAAAGCGTCAAATGTATTTCAGAAACTGTAAAATGTACTTCAGAATAGTCAATTGTACTTCAGGAAACGTAAAATGTACTTCAAAATGGTCAATTGTACTTCAGAAACCGTAAAATGTATTTCAGAACAGTCAACTGTACTTCAGAATAGTCAATTGTACTTCAGAAACCGTAAAATGTTCTTCAGAATAGTCAATTGTACTTCGGAAACCGTAAAATGTACTTCAGAATAGTCAATTGTACTTCAGAAACCGTAAATTGTACTTCAGAAACCGTAAATTGTACTTCAGAAATCGTAAAATGTACTTCAGAAGACGAAAATTCGTACACATTGTAATTATTTAAATAGTATATATATTATAGTGATTTTAAATATATTTACTTTTTAATATATTTACAAACTGCTTCTATGGACTTGTAATTTGGAAAATATATTAAAAAAAATAAACATTTAAAAATACTATTTTANGTTTCTGAAGTACAATTGACTATTCTGAAATACTTTTTACAGTTTCTGAAGTACAATTGACTATTCTGAAGAAAACTTTACAGTTTCTGAAATACTTTTTACGGTTTCTGAAGTACAATTGACTATCCTGAATTACATTTTACTTTTTCTGAAGTACAATTTACTATTCTGAAGTACATTTTACTATTTCTGAAGTACAAATGAGTATTCTGAAGAGCATTTGATGCTTTCTGAAGTACTCTTGGAAAAAGTGTAGTAAAACTGTCAAAAAATAAAAATTCGCTCAGAGCGAGAGAGTTAAACTATGTTCACATATCAATATTATCTCAATCAAAGCTCGTTTTTTAATCACCCCGTTTACACAGGAAAATCTCAGATTATTAGCCGTCAAATTTGTTGTGCTTGTTATTCTCACATCTCAAGGAAAATTTATGTTTCTTCTCTGTGCCACCGTGATCACGCTTTTCTGCAATAATAAGCAATATAAATATATTTTAACTTAACATTTTATTAAAAATACCTTTACAAACCTCTTCTACTTGCTAGCGTACATTTTTGTTTACTTTTACATTTGGCATTTCTCCTCTCTTTCGCAAAAACAATCGATAAAACTAGGATGGACACCGAAAAGTTATCGGTTAAATCTGAGATTATTTTATAATTACAGATTAACAAGGGACGAATTTTATATGGCTAATCTCTTGTTATAATTACAGATTAGGGTGTTAAGCTCGAAAATG